TGAGATTGTTATTACCAAAAATATAATAATATAAAATTTAAAACAAATGGTATACAAAAAAAAATATATATATATATATATACATATATATAATATATAAGTATCAAAATAAATATGGGAAACACTCTATCAACGTTTCGAATAATTTTGACAGGTTGGATAGAAGGTTATTGGGAGTCAAAAGCATATACACCTCTACCCATACATTCACAGGGGGAATGAAAGAGAGAGAGAGAGTCACATATACCCCAATACATTCTCTTTTCAATGGGAAATGACATTAATCATCCAGCATCCGAGCGATTCAATTCGAATAATTCGCGCGACTCACTCGAGCATCCCCCTAGGAACTTAGATAGCTTCGCAGAGAACGTATGGCTCGCCCTATACACACATACATAAATACATATACATACATATATATATATTATATGTAGGTTCCTTTTAAGGAACTCGCTATCGATCGTACTGAATTCCAGAACGATACCCACCCACATGTCATATATTGAAGAGACACATTGCAAAACCTTTTTAGAAACGTTCTTAGAATTGTTACGAATAAGACATCACATTTTATCCCTTTTGAATATGTTATAACGATAGGAGTATTTGATCTATCATCGATTAAGACTAATCAATTTTTTGGATCAAATTTTCTTTCAAATTTGTTACCCTGTTATTATGTCTCGTCGAATATTTTTTAATCATAATTTTATCAAATTTTTTCATAATCGACATTTGTGTATAGAAAAATATTTTATAGGTTAGGATAATTGAATTTTGATATTGATCAATTTTTTGTTCATATTTTGCACTTTTTTTTACGTGTATACATAATATATTTATATAATTTATTAATATTATTGATTAATAAATTATTTATATATAATTATTTATTAATAAATTTTTGTACAATTAAATTAATATATAATAATTATACATATATATATATTAAATATTGATAAAATTAGAATATATATAAATCTATTTCAATTGTCCTCTTAAATTTTCAATTTATTTTAACTTAATAAACTTGTATCTATTGGAATCTAATATTCTATGACTTTGTCATCAACGATCGGTAAATAGGATTCCTTATTTATCGACGTTATTACGAAATGCATTGAAACTGATATAATTGCAATATAAATTAACGAACATATATATTATTTATTTACATGATTGTTTACGTTTGTTTCCTTATTGATTTAATGATATTGTTGATAATAATTATTCGTAATGTTTTTTTTTTCTTTCAGCTTTTGACACATCTGAGGAAAGCGATGAGAAAAAGAATGTCGATACTGTCCTCGTCCTTCCTGGATCAGACATGGATGTTTATAGCAGACCACGCATTCCAAATTTACCCGATTTCAATGAATCCGATGGATCATGGCCTTTGTTTAGGCCAAGCTCCTTTGATTATCTAAGTGATACTTTACATCGTAAGTATTTTGTCATTATTTTTAATCAAAATTTGTATAATCATTAAAGGGTTACATGGGTTTACACCGGGAAAAAATATCATATTTTCAACAATTTTTTTTTCTATATAAAAAATGAAATTCTTATTCAAACTTTTTATAGTATTTAAGATACATATTTAAAGAAGATTTTCTGAATTTTTGGTTGAAAAATATTTTTAACTCAGCCATTGCGACGTCATTTCCGGTGACCCCACCGAAAAAAAAGTGTTTTCGCGTTGACAGCAGAACTTAT